TTCGCTCTCAGTGGGCCACCCGCAATGCTGCTGCACGTCTTGCTGTGCGTCGCCACCTGCCTACCACTGAGCACGCGCACTTTAGTCAGTACAAGAGTGCTCAGACCTTGTACGACGCTGTAGTTGCGCGCTACTCTTCGCCTCCCACTGCTGCACTGAGCCGCCTCATGCTACCGTACCTCTTTCCTGACCTTGCTGCCTTTCCTACAGTCGCTGACCTCATCACGCACCTCCGCACTTGTGACACTCGCTACCGCACCGCACTTCCTGCTGAGTTCTGCGCCAAGAACCCCTCCCCCCCATGTACATCGCTCTCTATTACATAGTCACTCGCCTCCCTGACTCCCTTCGCGTAGTCACGGACCACTTCCTCTCAGTCTGTCCCACCACCCTCACTGTCGACCTCCTCGAGAAGGCCCTCCTAGCGGCGGAGAAGAGCATAGTCGCTGTAGGAGCCTCTCGTGGTGACCCGCGCACCCCCATCTTTGAGGGGTGTTCTCCTTCCCCCCTGCTGCCCTCTGTTGCCTCTGCTGCTGCTGCCGACCTGCTTGGTCTTGAGTCGGTCGGCGCGGCGTCTGCCCCTAGCGGGAGACGCCGCCCTGGCAAGGGCAAGGGGGGTAAGGGCGCGGGTGGAGCTGGCGGGGGCGGTGGAGGTGGCAGTGGCGGTGGCGGAGGGAGTGGGGGTGGCGGCGGGAGTGGTGGTGGGGGTGGTGGTGGTGGTGGCGGCAGCGGAGGCGGCGACGGGAGCGGAGGTGGAGGCGGCGGTGGGAGCGGAGGCGGCGGTGGTGGTGGAGGTGGAGGCAGCAGTGGTGGAGGAGGTGGAGCCGGTCGGGGTAGTGCCCCGCAGCGGAGCGGCTCTGGTGGTGGTCCGCGCCAGCAGCAGCAGTAGTAGCAGCTTTCTCGGGACATCCCGCCGCCTCAGCAGCTCCGTGAGTGGTACACGCACTATCAGCTCCGTGAGCAAGAAAGTACCGGAGAGCAATGTGCTTTGTCCTGTGCTCCAGTCGCTGCTCTCGACACAAGGACAGCATGGCCTTGTTGTCTACGTACAGGACTGGAGGAGAACGAGGCGGCTCTCCAAGGTCGGTCAGCAGGTAGGTGAGCCAGCGAAGCTCCTGGGCAGCCATAGCCCCGGCGTAGATCTCAGCCTCACAACTGGAGCCAAGAACAGAAGACGAGCGGGTAGCCCGCCACTAAACAGAGTCGGAACCAAGACTGATGGTGTAACCCTGTGACGACCGCTGCGTAGCCTGGTCGTCAGCCCAAGAAGCGTCCGCGTGCCCAGTGAGGACCACTGGACTCCGCCCTCCAAGCACTAGCCCCCTGCCCGATGTACTGCACAAGTAGCGCAACACCCTCTTCGCTGCAGCCATGTGCTCTGGTCGGTGTCTCCCAGGAGCAACATAGCGTGCAAGAATGCTAAGAGGGTATGCAAGGTCAGGTCGTGTGCAGGTCATCAGGTACATGAGGCAGCCAACAAGCTCTGGATACGGGCCACTCGACTCTATGGACTCATCCGAAGGCAGAGCTGAGAGTGAGTGGCGAGTAGGCAGAGGAGTGGCCTGAGGCGAGGAGTACGTGAAGCCGAAGCGCTGAAGGACCTGCTGCACCATGTGTGACTAAGTCAAGGTAATGGTGCGGCGTGCTCTGTCCCGAGTGATCTGCAAGCCAAGGTAGCTGCGCAGTTCACCCAGGTCAGTGCACATGTGTCTCTTCTGCAGCTCGGACTTCACGTAGGCGAGTCGAGCAGTGTCAGCTGTGGCAAAGACCAAGTCGTCGACGTACACGAGGATGTAGAACGGCGGCAGAGAGGTGTCGGTGCGCAGAAACAGCGACGGGTCGGCAGTAGAAGGAGCAAACCCAAGAGCCGCAAGTGTAGTCCTAAGTGTGTCGTGCCACTCACGTGGCGCCTGGCGGAGATCGTAGACTGGACGCCGGAGACTCCACTGGGTACCAGGAGGGAAAGACCCAGTGAAGCCAGGTGGACGGTGCAGCCAGATCTCCTCGTGCAGGCTACCCTGCAAGAAAGCAGTGCTGAAGTCGAGAGAGTGCATCTCGTAGTCACGGTGAGCAGCAACGTGCAGCAGTACCCGAAGAGTGGTCATCTTCGGGGTGGGGGAGAAGGTCTGAAAGTAGTCAACTCCCTGCCGCTGACTGAAGCCACGAGCCACGTAACGCGCCTTGAAGACAGGCGGAGAACCCGGCGGCCGCTTCACCCTGAAGATCCACATGCCACTGACGATGTTCGCCCCAGGAGGGGGGACAGCGTCAACGTAGGTGCCTGTGGACTTCCAGGAATCCATCTCTGCATCCATAGCTGCCTGCCACTGAGAGGAGTAGGGACCCTCTATCGCCTCCGCGTAAGAGCGCGGAGTTGGGATGTCAAGTGCATTCGGGTCTCCCTCAGGGGTAAGGAGTACGGACACGAGATGAGGTGAAGCAGCTACCAGACACTGGAACTGTCAGAACACATAGCTTACTTGTTTGTGTAGGCTATAGTGGGGTATCCCATAGGGGGTACAACACAATTAGGGTTTCCTATTTGTACTCACTTCGTTCATACTCATTTCATTCTCGTTCAATTCTTCTCATGGAATCAGAGCAGGTCCCCTCCTAGGGACTGTTCCTAGGGCCCACCGAAGCGCGCCCCGAGGCGCGCGTTCTTTTTTTTTTAGCGACCCTGCGTGTCGCCCCTACCGTCGCGCTCCCGCCGCTCCCTCCTCTTACGGCCGCCCGCCCTAGTGCCCTGACGGCCGCCCGCCCTAGCGCCCTGACGGCCGCCCGCCCTAGCGCCCTGACGGCCGCCCGCCCTAGCGCCCGAGCGCCAACCGCCCTAGCGCCCTGACGGCCGCCCGCCCTAGCGCCCTGACGGCCGCCCGCCCCAGCGCCCGAGCGCCGCCCGCCCTAGCGCCCGAGCGCCGCCCGCCCTAGCGCCCGAGCGCCGCCCGCCCTAGCGCCCGAGCGCCGCCCGCCCTAGAGCCCTGACGGCCGCCCGCCCTAGCGCCCGAGCGCCGCTCGCCCTAGCGCCCTGACGGCCGCCCGCCCTAGCGCCCGTGCGCCCCTCGCCCAAGCGCCCTGACGGCCGGCCACCCGCCCTAGCGCCCGAGCGCCGACCGCCCTTTCGCCCTTACGGCCGCCCGCCCGAACGCCTGAGCGCCGCCCGCCGTCGCCCCAACGCCCTAGCGCCCGACGCCCGCGAGCCGCCCGTCGCAGCCGCCCGTGAGCTCCCTGAGCCGCCCGCGCCGCCGTCCATGAGCCGCCTGTGCAGCCGCCCGCGAGCCACCGGTGAGCCGCCCGTCGCGACACCAGCGCCGCACGAGCCGCCCGTACAGCCCAGCAGCCCGAGCCGCCCGAGCCGCCCGCGCCGCCCCAGCAACCCGAGCCGCCCGAGCTGCCCGAGCCGCCCGAGCCGCGCGAGCCGCCCGAGCCGCCCCAGCCGCCCGAGCCGCCCGAGCCGCCCGAGCCACCCGAGCCGCCCGAGCCGCCCGCGCCGCCCCAGCAACCCGAGCCGCCCGAGCCGTGCCGCTGTTCCTGAGCTGTGTTCCTCTGCTGCTGCACTACCCGACTCTCCCAGCCCGGTGAGACTTTCAGCTGCTGCCATGGCCACCCCCAATGTCCTTACTTTTGACGCTGAGGGGAGGGCCATTGACTTTGCCGTCTGGATTGAAGACCTGCAGCTGTACTTACTATGTGATGCGATAGATGAGGTCTCTCTCTTTGACTTTGTCTCTGGCGCTGTCCCTGCCCCACCTGCTGATGCTGACTCTGCCGTTCGCTCCAAGTGGGCGACCCGCGATGCTGCTGCACGTCTTGCTGTGCGTCGCCACCTCCCTTCCTCTGAGCGTGCCCACTTTAGTCAGTGCAAGACCGCTCAGGCCTTGTACGACGCTGTGGTTGCACGCTACTCCTCCCCTTCCTCCGCTACCCTTAGCCGCCTCATGCTACCGTTTCTCTTCCCTGACCTCGCCTCCTTTCCCACTGTTGCTGACCTCGTTACCCACCTCCGTGCTAGTGACACCCGCTACCGCGCTGCCCTTCCTGCTGAGTTCCGCGCTGCAAACCCTCCTCCCATGTACATCACTCTCTACTTTCTCGTCACCCGTCTCCTTGAGTCCCTTCGTGCCGTTAGGGACCAGTTTCTCTCTGTCTGTCCCACCACTCTCACTGTCGATCTCCTTGAGGAGTCCCTGCTAGCGGCTGAGAAGAGTATTGTCGCTGTAGGGGCCTCTCGGGGTGACCCTCGCACCCCCATATTTGAGGGGTGTGGTCCTTCCCCCCTGCTGCCCTCTGACGCCTCTGCCGCTGCGGCCGACCTCACTGGTTTTGAGTCGGTCGGCGCGGCGTCTGCCCCCGGTGGCAGACGCCGCTCTGGCAAGGGCAAAGGGGGCAAGGGAGCGGGTGGAGCTAGAGGGGGCGGTGGAGGAGGCGGTGGGGGTGGCGGGGGGAGTGGGGGTGGCGGTGGGGGTGGTGGCGGGAGTGGAGGTACTGTTGGCGGCGGTGGAGGCGGAGGTGGCGGCGGAGGTGGTAGCGGAGGAGGCGGTGGGAGCGGTGGGAGCGACGGTCCTGGTGGGGGAGGTGGCGGTGGAGACGGGGGTGGCGGTGGAGGCGGGGGTGGCGGTGGAGGCGGGGGTCGGAGTGGCTCGTCCCAGCGGAGCAGCTCTGGGGGTGGTCAGCGCCAGCAACAGCAGCAGCAGCAGCCGCAGCAGCAGCCACAGCAGCAGCAGCGCTCTCGCACCGTCCCCGGCCCTCAGCAGCTCCGTGAGTGGTACTTGCAGCGTCAGCGTGGTGGTGCGCTTGGTCCCTGCCCCTACGTTCTTCGCACAGGTGACCGTGCAGGGGAGAGGTGTGGAGGCGCCCACACAGCCCGCCGCTGCTTTGGCCGCCTGACCGACGCCTGGCGTCAGCAGTTTCCGGAGGCCGCTGAGATCCCCCGCTGGGGAGAGCTGTCTAGGGCTGGTGTAGCTATTTATGATCTTGATTTTGATGCTATTCTCTCTGCTATGTATGCTGTGACTGGTAGTGATGAGGATGACTGTTACCGGTGTTTCCCGCCCGACCCGGGCATTGGTACTGCCGCGTCAGGTACTAGTGAGGCTGCTGCTCTAGGTGCCAGTGCGTCTGTGCTCTCAGGTGCTGGTGAGTCTGCCCTCTCAGGTACTGTGTCGGCTTCGGCCTCTCACACCTTCACCCTTGACTCTGGAGCGTCTCGCTCCTTCTTTAGGGACCGCACCACTCTCACGCCGCTGAGTCGGCCGGTTGCGGTGTCCCTGGCTGACCCCTCTGGGGGGCCTGTCCTGTCTCGCTTCTCCACTGTCCTCCCGTGTCCGGCGGCCCCCTCTGGCACCCTGACTGGTCTCTACCTCCCCTCGTTCTCGACGAACTTGGTGAGTGGTGCTGACCTCCAGGATGTGGGTGTCCACCAGTTCACCCCTGCTCGTCAGCGGGTGACCCACTGCACGGAGGCGGATACAGGTCGCCACCTGGCTACGTTTACACGTCGGCCAGGGTCGAGCCTGTACACACTGACCACTGCTTCTCCTCCAGGTGCTGAGTCTGGTAGGGTCCCTTCGTCTGGTCAGGTGTTTGCTGCAGCGTCCAGGTCTGATCCTGAGTCTGCCCCCTGCTCGTGTCGTCGTCTGTCTCACGAGACCCTCCTCTGGCACCACCGCCTTGGCCACCCCTCTCTGCTTCGGCTCAGAGGCATGGCCTCGCGAGTCCTTGTGTCTGGTCTTCCCCGGTCTCTCCCTCCCCTTCCTCCGGGCCCTGGCCCCACCTGTGTCCCCTGTGTCGAGGGGCGCCAGCGTGCTGCCCCTCACTCCTCCCAGTTTCCTCCGACAGAGGCCCCGTTGCAGACGCTTCACATGGACGTGTGGGGCCCAGCCCGCGTCCGTGGACAGGGTCAGGAGCGCTACTTCCTGCTGGTGGTTGACGACTACTCGTGTTACACCACAGTCTTCCCCTTGCGCAGCAAGGGTGAGGTCACTGAGGTGTTGATCGACTGGATCCGCGCAGCTCGTCTCCAGCTTCGGAGGAGCTTTGGCTCTGACTTCCCTGTTTTACGTCTGCACTCGGACAAAGGCGGAGAGTTCTCCTCTGGCCTCCTGAGTGCCTACTGTCGTGCGCGAGGCATCCGTCAGACCTTCACGCTTCCGGACTCACCACAGCAGAATGGGATTGCTGAGCGCCGCATTGGCATGGTCATGGACGTCGCTCGTACGTCCATGATGCATGCGGCTGCTCCCCATTTTCTGTGGCCGTTTGCGGTCAGTTACGCTGCGCACCAGATCAACCTCCACCCCAGGGTCTCTCGACGGGAGACCTCCCCAGCCCTGCTGTGGACGGGGAAGGTTGGCGATGCGTCGGCGTTCCGGGTCTGGGGATCTCGGGCGTTTGTTCGCGACCTGTCTGCGGACAAGCTGTCCCCTCGTGCTTCTCCCTGCGTCTTCCTGGGGTTCCCCCCCGACGCCCCTGGGTGGCAGTTTTACCACCCCACCTTTTGACGTGTTCTGTCCTCCCAGGACGTCACGTTCGACGAGTCGGTACCCTACTACCGCCTCTTCCCCTACCGCACTCCGTCCCTCCCCCCACCCCCGCTCTTCTTGGTACCAGGTCCCCCCCCGGTAGTCCCCCTCCCCCCTCAGGGTCCTGCCCCTTCAGGTGTGTCCCAGGTAGACGAGGTCGAGCCTGTCGAGGTCACTGGTGACTCTGGTGCTGCTGCGGGAGCTGAGCCTGGGGGTGCGGAGTCTGGGGGTGCTGAGCCTGGGGGTGCTGAGCCTGGGGGTGCTGTGCCTGGGGGTGCTGAGCCTGGAGGTGCCGAGTCTAGGGGTGCTGTGCCTGGGGGTGCTGAGCCTGGAGGTGCTGCGCCTGGGGGTGCTGTGCCTGAGGTTGCTGAGCCTGGGGGTGCTGTGCCTGGGGGTGCTGTGTCTAGGGGTTCTGAGCCTGGAGGTGCTGTGCCTGGGGGTGCTTCGTCTCGCCGGGAGCCACTCTCCCCACAGGAGCTGCGTGAGTGGTTTGCCAGGCGCTGGAGGCGTGCTGCTGGTGCGGGTGGTTCTTCGACTGCAGAGGGTACTGCTGCCGCGCGTCCCGCCGGTGCTCGTACTGTGGGTGCTGGAGCTGCTGGGTCTGAGAGTTCTCCTGGAGCTGGTCCTGCTGAGGGTGTTGGCGCTGAGCCTGCCGTTGGCGGTCCGACTAACAGTGCTCCTGGTGCTGCGGCTGGGGGTTCTGGAGCTTCTGGTGGTGCTGCTGGAGGTGCTGCTGGAGTGGGTGCTCCTGCCGGGGCTACTGGTGTTGTTCCTGCTGTTTCTAGCGTCGCCGCGCGGCCCCGACCGTACTTCGTTCCGCTCCTGCAGCAGGTTCTTGGTCTTACACCTCCTCCTCCTCCCTTAGAGGGTCCGCAGCCTGTCCAGTCACAGCCACAGCTACAGCCTGCCTCCCCTTTGCCTGCTCCTTCTCCCTACGCTGGTCCGACTGGAGGTCTTACTGAGCGTCGTGAGCCTGCGTCTCGTCCTGTGTCGCCTGTTCGTACTGAGCGCGCTAGTGGTCGCGGGTCGCGTCAGCGTCCTCCTCCTGTCCCTGGCACGCACCGGATGTCACTGCGTCCGTCCACTGCTCCTCTGCGTGCCCCTTTGCCTTCTCCTCCTGCTTCCTCTCTTCCTGCTCTTGCCGACCCGGAGTCGGACTCTCTTCGTGCTGCCAGTCCTACTGTCACGCGTCTCCTGGCTACTGCTGTCACTGACCCCTCCTTCGAGTCGTCTGCTGCGGCTGCCCTTGTCACTGAGCTTGTCGACTTTGCTGCGCGCTGTCGTCTAGACTACGCTGCTCGTCTTGTCACTGAGTTTGAGTCCGCCTGTCCTCCGTCCGTCGGGGGTGAGTGTGCCCTTGGCACGGACGTCCTTGAGGACAGGCAGGAGGAGTTCCAGTGTCTGGCCGCCGCTTCACCTCGTCTCGCGTCTGTACTGCTAGCCCCTGAGGGAGACCCGGATGCACCAGACATCCCGACTCCGCGCTCTTATGCGGAGGCGATAGAGGGTCCCTACTCCTCTCAGTGGCAGGCAGCTATGGATGCAGAGATGGCTTCCTGGAAGTCCACAGGCACCTACGTTGACGCTGTTCCCCCTCCTGGGGCGAACATCGTCAGTGGCATGTGGATTTTCAGGGTGAAGCGGCCGCCGGGTTCTCCGCCTGTCTTCAAGGCGCGTTACGTGGCTCGTGGCTTCAGTCAGCGGCAGGGGGTTGACTACTTTCAGACCTTCTCCCCCACCCCGAAGATGACCACTCTTCGGGTTCTGCTGCACGTTGCTGCTCACCGTGACTACGAGATGCACTCTCTCGACTTCAGCACAGCTTTCTTGCAGGGCAGCCTGCACGAGGAGATCTGGCTGCGTCGCCCACCTGGCTTCACTGGGTCTTTCCCTCCTGGTACCCAGTGGAGTCTCCGGCGTCCAGTCTACGGTCTCCGCCAGGCGCCACGTGAGTGGCACGACACACTGAGGACTACGCTCGCGGCACTTGGGTTTGCTCCTTCCACTGCCGACCCGTCGCTGTTTCTGCGCACCGACACCTCTCTGCCGCCGTTCTACATCCTCGTGTACGTCGACGACTTGGTCTTTGCCACAGCTGACACCGCTGGACTCGCCTACGTGAAGTCCGAGCTGCAGAAGAGACACACGTGCACTGACCTGGGTGAACTGCGCAGCTACCTTGGCTTGCAGATCACCCGGGACAGAGCACGCCGCACCATTACCCTGACTCAGTCACACATGGTGCAGCAGGTCCTTCAGCGCTTCGGCTTCACGTACTCCTCGCCTCAGGCCACTCCTCTGCCTACTCGCCACTCGCTCTCAGCTCTGCCTTCGGATGAGTCCGTAGAGTCGAGTGGCCCGTTTGCAGAGCTTGTTGGCTGCCTCATGTACCTGATGACCTGCACACGACCTGACCTCGCATACCCTCTTAGCATTCTCGCACGCTTTGTTGCTCCTGGGAGACACCGACCAGAGCACATGGCTGCAGCGAAGAGGGTGTTGCGCTACTTGTGCAGTACGTCGGGCATGGGGCTAGTGCTTGGAGGGCGCAGTCCAGTGGTCCTCACTGGGCACGCAGACGCTTCTTGGGCTGACGACCAGGCTACGCAGCGGTCGTCACAGGGTTACACCTTCAGCCTTGGTTCCGGCTCTGTCTCGTGGCGGGCTACCCGCTCGTCTTCTGTTCTCGGCTCCAGTTGTGAGGCTGAGATCTACGCTGGGGCTATGGCTGCACAGGAGTTACGCTGGCTCACCTACCTGCTGACCGACCTTGGAGAGCAGCCTCGTTCTCCTCCAGTCCTGTACGTAGACAACAAGGCCATGCTGGCCTTGTGTCGAGAGCAGCGACTGGAGCACAGAACGAAGCACATTGCTCTTCGCTACTTTCTTGCTCGTGAGCTACAGCAGCGTGGACAGCTGCGACTTGCGTACGTGGCCTCTGAGGCCAACACTGCTGATGTCTTCACCAAGGCACTTGCGCCTTGTGATCATCAGCGTTGTTGCACGCAGTTGGGTCTTGTGCGTGTCTTGCCTCACTTGCTCTCCTCTTGACCTTGCTTGTACCTTCGCATATATATACTCTTGCTCTTGCTTGCTTGACTCTTGTATACCTCTATATATGATCTTGCATGTGAACTGGCCTTGTGGCCTTTGAACTTGTGCTCGGAATGCGTGGTGACTTTGTGATCCACCCTGAGCTTTGCTTTGCTTTGCTTGACTGGTCTTGTGACCCCTTGTTCTCCCCCACTTTGCCTATGGGGGTGTGTCAGAACACATAGCTTACTTGTTTGTGTAGGCTATAGTGGGGTATCCCATAGGGGGTACAACACAATAGGGTTTCCTATTTGTACTCACTTCGTTCATACTCATTTCATTCTCGTTCAATTCTTCTCAGGAACTCCTCCTGCCTGTCCTCAAGAATGTCCGTGCCAAGGGCACACTCACCCCCGACGGACGAAGGACTGACAGACTCAGACTTAGCAACAAGACTAGCAGCGTAGTCTAGGCGACATCGAGTAGCAAAGTCGACGAGCTCGGCAACAAGGGCAGACGCAGCAAAAGACTCGAAAGAAGGGTCAGTGACCACAGTAGCAAGGAGACGCGTGACAGTAGGACTGGTAGCACGAAGAGAGTCCGACTCCGGGTCGGCAAGATCAGGAAGAGAGGACACAGGAGGTGAAGGCAAAGGGGCACGCAGAGGAGCAGTGGACGAACGCAGAGACATCCGGTGCGTGCCAGAGACAGGCGGAGGACGCTGACGCGAACTGCGACCACTAGCGCGAGCAGCACGAACAGGCGACGCAGGACGAGACGCAGGCTCACGACGCTCAGTAAGACCTCCAGTAGGACCAGCATAGGGAAAAGGAGCAGGCAAAGGGGAGGCAGGCTGTAGTTGTGGTTGTGACGGGACAGACTGGGGACCCTCCAAGGGAGGAGGAGGACTAGTAGAAGGTGGAAGACCAAGAACCTGCTGCAGGAGTGGAACGAAGTACGGTCGAGGCCGCGTGGCGACGCCAGAAACAGCAGGGACAGCACCAGTACCCCCAGCAGGAGCACCCGCTCCAGCAGCACCTCCAGAAGCTCCAGAACCTCCATCAGCACCAGGGAGCACCCCCAGCAGGACCGCCAGTGGTAGTCTCAGCGCCAACACCCTCAGCAGCACCAGCTCCAGTTGAACCCGCAGGCCCAGCAGCTCCAGTACTCCCAGTACGAGCACCTCCGGGACCCGCAACAGCAGCACCCTCAGTAGGCGAAGAACCTCCAGCACCAGCAGCACGGCTCCAGCGACGGGCAAACCACTCGCGCAGCTCCCGTGGAGAGAGTGGCTCCCGGCGAGACGAAGCACCCGGAGAACCTCCAAGCCCAGCACCTCCAAGCCCAGCACCCCCAGGCTCAGCACCCCCAGGCTCAGCACCCTCAGCAGCACCACAGTCACCAGTGACCTCGACAGGCTCGACTGCGTCTACCTGGGACACACCTGAAGGGGCAGGACCCTGAGGGGGGAGGGGGTCTACCGGGGGGGGACCTGGTACAAGGAAGAGTGGGGGCGGGGGGAGGGACGGAGTGCGGTAGGGGAAGAGGCGGTAGTAGGGGACCGGCTCGTCGAACGTGACGTCCTGGGAGGACAGAACACGGCGAGAGGTGGGGTGGTAGAACTGCCACCCAGGCGCGTCGTGGGGGAACCCCAGGAAGACGCAAGGAGCAGCGCGAGGGGACAGCTTGTCCGCAGACAAGTCGCGGACAAATGCCCGAGTTCCCCAGACCCGGAACGCCGACGCATCGCCAACCTTCCCCGTCCACAGCAGGGCTGGGGAGGTCTCCGGCCTAGAGACCCTGGGGTGAAGGTTGATCTGATGCGCCGCGTACCTGACCGCAAACGGCCACAGAAAATGGGGGGCAGCCGCATGCATCATAGACGTACGAGCAACGTCCAAGACCATGCCAATGCGGCGCTCAGCAATCCCATTTTGCTGCGGTGAGTCCGGAAGCGTGAAGGTCTGATGGATGCCTCGTGCACGACAGTAGGCTCGCAGAAGGCCAGAGGAGAACTCTCCGCCTCTGTCCGAGTGCAGACGCAAAACAGGGAAGTCCGAGCCAAAGCTCTGCCTGAGCTGGAGACGAGCTGCGCGGATCCAGTCGATCAGCACCTCAGTGACATCACCCTTGCTGCGCAAGGGGAAGACTGTGGTGTAACGCGAGTAGTCGTCAACAACGAGCAGGAAGTAGCGCTCGTGACCCTGTCCACGGACGCGGGCTGGGCCCCACACGTCCATGTGAAGCGTCTGCAACGGGGCCTCTGTCGGAGGAAACTGGGAGGAGTGAGGGGCAGCCCGCTGGCGCCCCTCGACACAGGGGACACAGGCAGGGCCAGGGCCCTGAGGAAGGGGAGGGAGGGACCGGGGGAGACCAGACACAAGAAGACGGGAAGCCATGCCTCTGAGCCGAAGCAGAGAGGGGTGACCAAGACGGTGGTGCCATAGGAGAGTCTCGTGAGACAAGAGACGACACGAACAGGGGGCACACTCAGGACCAGACCTGGACGCTGCAGCAAACACCTGACCGGACGAAGCGACTCTACCAGACTCAGTAACGGGAGGAGACGCACTGGTCAGTGTGTACAGGCTCGACCCTGGCTGACGGGTAAACGTAGCCAGGTGCCGGCCTGTGCTAGCCTCTGTACAATGCGTCACCCGCTGACGCGCAGGAGTGAACTGGTGGACAACCGCATCCTGTAGGTCAGCACCACTCACCAGGTTCGTAGAGAACGAGGGGAGGTAGAGACCAGACAAGGTGCCAGAGGGAGCCGTCGGACACGGGAGGACTGTGGAGAAGCGAGACAGGACAGGGCCCCCAGAGGGGTCACCCAGAGACACTGCAACCGGCCGACTCAGCGGTGTGAGTGTGGTGCGGTCCCGAAAGAAGGAGCGAGACGCCCTAGAGTCAAGGGTGAAGGTGAGGGAGGCCGAAGCCGACGTAGTACCTGAGAGCGCAGACTCACCAGTACCTGAGGACGCAGATACACTAGCACCTAGAGCAGCAGCGTCACAAGCACCTAGGGCAGCAGCCTCACCAGTACCTAGAGCAACATTCTCAATGCCCGGATCGGGCGGGAAACACCGGTAACAGTTACCCTCATCACTAATAGACACAGCATACATGGCAGAGAGAATAGCATCAAAGTCAAGAGCATAGATGGCAACACTCGCCCTAGACAGCTCGCCCCAGCGAGGGATCTCTGAGGCCTCCGGGAACTGGTGACGCCACGCGTCCGTCAGGCGGCCAAAGCAGTGCTGGGTGGGGTGTGCACCCCCACACTGCTCACCCGCACGGTCGCCGGTGCGCAAAACGTAGGAGCACGGACCGAAACCCCCACCCCGCTGGCGTGCAGTGTACCACTCACGAAGCTGCTGAGGGGAGAGGGTCTCACTACCGCGCTACTGCTGCTGGCGCGAGCCACCACCGGAGCCACTCCTCTGCGAAGACCCGCGACCAGCACCACCCCCACCTCCACCGCCACCGCCGCCTCCGCCGCCTCCACTACCGCCGCCACCTCCGCCTCCGCCTCCACCGCCGCCACCTCCGCCACCTCCGCTCCCACTGCCACCGCTGCCGTTACCTCCGCCTCCACTGCCGCCACCGACTCCTCCACTCCCACCTCCACTCCCACCGCCACCCCCACTCCCCCCACCGCCGCCACCTCCACCTCCACCGCCCCCGCTCGCTCCTCCAGCGCCCTTGCCCCCCTTGCCCTTGCCAGGGCGGCGTCTCCCGCTAGGGGCAGACGCCGCACCAATCGACTCAAGACCAAGGAGGTCGGCCGCAGCAGCAGAGGCAACAGAGGGCAGAAGGGGGGAGGGGGAACACCCCTCAAAGATGGGGGTGCGCGGGTCACCTCGAGAGGCTCCTACAGCGACTATGCTCTTCTCTATCGCTAGGAGTGCCTTCTCGAGGAGGTCGACAGTGAGAGTGGTGGGACAGACTGAGAGGAAGTGGTTCCTGACTATACGGAGGGAGTCAGGGAGACGAGTGACTATGAAATAGAGAGTGATGTACATGGGGGGGGGGGTTCTTGGCGCAGAAGTCAGCAGGAAGTGCAGCGCGGTAGCGAGTGTCACTAGTGCGGAGGTGCGTAATGAGGTCAGCGACTGTGGGAAAGGCAGCAAGGTCAGGGAAGAGGTACGGTAGCATGAGACGGCTCAGTGCAGCAGTGGCAGGGGAGGAGTAGCGTGCAACTACAGCGTCGTACAAGGTCTGAGCACTCTTGTACTGACTAAAGTGCGCACGCTCAGAGGTAGGGAGGTGGCGACGCACAGCAAGACGTGCAGCAGCATCGCGTGTGGCCCACTGGGAGCAAACAGTAGGGTCAGCATCAGCAGCAGGGGCAGGAGAGGCGCCAGAGGTGAGGTCAAAGAGAGAAAGACCGTCTGCCCTATCGCACTGTAAGAACAGCTGCAGGTCGTCGACCCAGACCTCAAAGTCAATGGCGCGACCCTCAGCGTCAAAAGCTAGGACACTAGGGGTAGCCATGACAACAGTAGACTAGCAGTGGTGACTGTAGGACAGGGGCAGTGCAGTGACTGAGGTGCCGTTCTCACCAGACAGGGCGGTTCGGGCAGCTCAGCAGCACAGCAACACGGCAACACTGCTGCTCGGCCGGCCCAGCTGCAACAGTAGCTCCGCAGGACCAGCGGCCCGGCTCCTCAGGCGGCTCGGGCGGCTCGGGCGGCGCAGGCGGCTCGGGCGGCTCGGGCGGCTCGGGCGGCTCGGGTCCTCAGCGGCTCGGGCGGCTCGGGCAGCTGAGGCGGCTCAGGCGGCTCGGGTGGCTCAGGTGGCTCGGGCGGCTCGGGCGGCTCAGGTGAGTCGGGCGGAGCGGGCGGTGCAGGGCGGCGGGGCCGCAAGGGAGGTGGCGGGGCCGCGGTGGAGAATGGCGGCGGGGCCGCAACGAAGGGCGGCAGGACCGCGACGAAGGGCGGCAGGGGCCGCGTGGAAGGGCGGCAGGGCCGCTAAGAAGGGCGGCGGGGCCGCGTCGGGAGAGGCGGCGGGGCCGCAAA